AGCGGGGCTGGGCGGCCCCCGCCCGCGCAGAGCCCCGGCGCCCCGCCATGGTGCTGCCGGGGGATCAGGCCCGGCTCTACCGGCCGCGGCCCGAGCTGCTGCCCGCGGCCCACGTCCCCTCGCTGCCCCACTACCAGCGGCTGTACCAGCGCTCCGTGGAGGAGCCGCACGGTGAGCGGGGCCGCGCGGGGCCGGGGCTGCGGGGCGGCGGCTGCCCGGGCCCGCCGGGGGCTGCCCGCGGGGCTGTGGGGAGCTCGGAGAGCCCTCCGCGAGCCTCCCCCTGTGGGCTGCTCGGGGGGTGCCCCTCGTGTCCCCAGGAATGTTATCTCCCTCATCCCCATTTCCCTCATCCCCATTTCCCTCATCCCCGGTTTCCCTCATCCCCGTTTCCCTCATCCCTGCTTTCCTTATCCTTGCTTCCCTCATCCCTGTTTGCCGCTCACGGGCTCCGGCGCCCCTTGCCTTTGCAGAATTTTGGGGGGACATCGCTAAAGAGTTCTACTGGAAGCGTCAGCACACGGGACCCTTCCTGAAGTACAACTTCGACGTGACCAAGGGGAAGATCTTCATCGAGTGGATGAAAGGAGCGACCACCAACATCTGCTACAACCTCCTGGACAGAAATGTCAACGACAAGAAGCTTGGGGACAAAGTTGCTTTTTACTGGTAAGTTTTTGTTTTTATTGTGGTGGAGAAGCCGTGTAAATATCACGCTAAAGCGATAGGAACAGTGTCGATTTTTACTGAGGTGAATGAAAGCATAGAACCTGAGAGGGGCTAATCTTTAGATAGGTTCAGCACGTGTTTGCTTGCGGTGTCCTTGGGAAGAGGTGTGCCGGGAAGCTTCTCTGCCCTTCCCGGGAAGCTTCTCTGCCCTTCCAGGGATGCATTGGAGTGCCCGGCATAGCAGTGGGGAGCGCCTGACTCCCAGCTCTGCCTTTGCAGTTGTACCCGCTGAGAGCACAGACAGGAGCCAGGCAGGTGCCACAACTCCCTGGGGAAGGAGGTGGATGTGGGTAGAGAGACGGGGTGAGGAACAGCCAACATCTGACTGCTTAAAGCTAGTAAACCCCATTATCTTCTGTGTTTATGTTTTGTGGGTCTGGCAAGTTTCCACTCCTGTGGTAGAAAGGTTCTCCTCATACCTGTGCTTGTGGATTCCTTGCACTTGTGTGATGTGTGGTGCTTTCAGAAAGAATGGCTTCTCTAACTTTAGGAAGGAAAGTTACTTCCAGTCCCATCTGGAGTATGTATTTTTTTACCAGAGTAGTTGATAATGTTAAAATCCACATRAAACTTAATTTTCATATTGATGCAAAATAGGTTTCAGTGGTGATGCYCGAGCTCCAGAAGTAATGCTCCCCTGCTGAACTAGCTCAGCTGTCACCACAGCTGTGTCCCCGGACAGAGCTGTGCTGGCTCTCCTGTACATTTTGCTGTTTTCCTTGAACTGGTATTTATGTTGCTTGGGGATGACTGTATGTGGCAGGGCAGAAGGACAATTAAATGTGCCCCATGTTAGGGATGCAGTAACTCACTGGGATAYGGTGAGAGCTTTCAGCAGAGCAGATGGAGAAACTACTGTCATTGCAGTAAAAATRTCAGATGCTCTGAGTGATTTATTGTGCAGCCGAAGGTCCCCCGAGTCACCTGGTGTAAAGTTGACTGGGAGCCATCCTGCTGCAGAAAGGAACATGGTTATACCAACGTGGCTCTAGCTGTGGCTGTAAAAATGGGGTTCAGAGAGTTTCTAGAGTTGCTATCCATACCCATTCTGCTTTGGTGAAATAATTACACACACTGCCTAGCAGATAATCATATTGATAAGGCACTGGTGAAATGTTGGAAAGTGTTTGCGTCCCTGCTAGTTAAATACATTTTCTAGCTCACTCTGATATAAAATGACTGCAGGTTCTGAATGAAAACCCCTTTGTAAACTCATGCAAGTAAAGGTGTGCCAGCAAACAAAGCCATTTGGCAGCCAGTGCTGGCCCTGTGCTGGTGTTTGTGGAGGGACTGGGTTCTTCTTGCACATAAATCTTTGTGTGACAGCGAGGCAGCAGCCTACAGCTTTAATTTGGGCTTGGTGAATATTTTTCCTGTTGGTTATTCTGGCAGCCTTTGTGGGGTATTTGTGATGCTGAGCCAAGCTTGGAGTGGATATGAAAATGGTGGGTGGCTGTCAGTCRTGGTGTTCACAGTGCTAAAAAATAAAGTCTCTCCCCCTCCTTAGCAGAGAGTTTCCCCTGACTGTTTTGGGCTAAACTCTCCTAGCGTGGCTCTCACAGGTGACCAAGCACTGTAGTGTGGAGCTGTCAGTTGGGAATGCCAGTGGGAAGCATGGAAAAAGCACACTGGATGTGACACGTGTGGCACTGGCCTGCAAAACTGTGGCACTGAGGGCTGCAGCTCATAAAATGACTCCTCTCTGGGCAGGTGGTTTTCTTCAAAATGAAACAATAATTAATTGCTGTCATCTTGTCCTCTCACATTTTGTATTTAACACTCTGTAACAAGCCTGGCTCTGTGGAGCACTTGAGATTTGTCACACTGTATGAAAAGTCAAAAAAGAAATTAAAGCCTCTGAAAGCTGAAGAGGTTGGGTTTTTTTTTCAGTTTTAAACACCTGAGCCACTTGATTGCTTCTAAGAAAGTCTGTAGCTTGCTAGATGGAAAAGGTGCTGAACTTACACCAARGTTTGGATGACTGTCCAGTTCTGAGAGCTCTGAAAAGATGCAGGACCATGACCTTTGCTTTCAGAGAGAGAAATTAGGGAAAAGTTGAATAATGTTTGGAGGCATTGCTGAGTGTCTCTGAGAAGTAGTGTGTCCTGACAAAACTYAGAACTGCTGGCTGTGGCTGTCTTCAGCCTTGCATGGATGGGAAGCAGCGAGCAGCTCGTCTGGATTTGTTATGGCCAAGCTGCTCTAGAGGTTCCTGCACCACCAGCAGTCCGTCCAGGACTGCCCAAATTGGCTCCATGCAGAGGGTCTAATCCCAAGCCACATGGAATTGCATTTTCAGCACAAAGGGCAGTACATGGGATTGCCTAATGCTGCAGAACTTGTACATAGGTGACGTGTGGTGTTGTCTTCCTGGTGCTGTTAGGACTGTGTAGTTCAAAAATGGCCATTCTGAGTTGGTATGAAATGTAGATTTTTCCCTGTTGCCAGTTTCACTATCATATTTTGGGCGGCTTGTGAACGTTACAAATATTTCTGGTTCTGCTGCCTCTGATTCCTCTTTCTCTGCTTAGTATTGCTGATGTGGCCTAAAAAAAGGAACAGAAGCTCCAGGAAATGCCTCTGATAAAGTGCTGCTCTTGAAAGCAAAACCTCTTTCATAATGGTGTGGAAAGGCTGAGGTCAGTAACAGTGGTTGCAGGTGTGGTGACTCTTGTGGGCCTTGCAGGGGAAAYGGACTGCACCAGCTACTGGGACACTGAGGGGACTTGCAGCAGTGCTGAGGACTTTGTGATGGGTGGTTATTCAGGGCAGGAGTGCAGTATTCCTTCACTGTGCTGCAGGCACGCCTAGGTCACTTAGACAGCCCTTAGTTGTGTGCTGGAGTGTCTGTTAATAATCTCATATAAACTTCAGCCCGGGCAGCCTGTAGAAGTAAAAATATAACCAGGTGGGAATTAAAAAAAAACCAACAACAACAATACCTATTGCAAAACTMTCTAATTAGACCCCAGGGTGTGAAGGTACTTGGATGAGGCCTGTTCTGTTTATAACCTTTGCCTCTGTTTCTCAAACCAGTTCCCCCAGCTGCAGTGCTGGTGGTGCCTGGTGGGACCAGGGGCCAGGGGCAGGAGGTAGAGCTTTGTTTTTAGAGTCCCTCTAGCCAAGGCGATGGGATTTAGCAGGGTGCTCCTGGCTTCTGCCATCTCTGGGGGAGTGYAGTAATTTTCTGCTTTCTTATATTGGCATATGACACAACACTCTAGAAAGGAGCAATAAAGATAGTAAAGGCTGCTAGAGATTACTGGAGCTTTGTTTAACAAAGTAATAAGTGCCTATCGTTCCTCTTCTGGACCTAGAAAAAACAGGATATGCAAATATAAAATGAGGAGGTGTGGTTTGTTAGGTTTGGCTTTCTTTATATGATTTTACTTTAAAATATGGGGTTTCTCCCAGTAAAACTTTCTGTAAGAAAAAACCCAACAACTATAAGAACATGTTTAAAAAAAAAAAGAAACAAACCAACCACCCCTGTCATGGACACAGATGCTGTGCCTGAGGATGCTGGCTGTTAGCATTCAGCCTTTCTAAGTGCCTAATTGGAGCCATTTTCATGATGCACTTGGCTCTGCTGCTCCCACTGGCTTCAGGATTTTGGAGTGTCCAGTGTCAAACTGACCCTTCAATGCTTTGGTAGCTACTGGATGACTTGCTATTCTGTTCTAGTGATGAAAGCACATCCCTAAATCACACAGTTTGTTTAAAGAACAAAATTCACCACTGGGAAGGTTGCTTTTACTGATCCACATTTGCAGGTGTGTGCATGGTTTGGTTCATGTCACAGCACTTCCCAGGCTCAGCACAGCTCCTTTCCTGGTGGGAATTCTTAATGGGAAAAGGGGTGGCCCCACTCAGCCCTTTCTGGGGTGCCTCCTCAGCAATCCATGTCATCTCCCTGTTGAGTGTGCTGAGGGATAGATTGCTAGTTTTGGCAGATATAATTATTTTGGAAGCACTGCTGAGCARTACAATGCTCTGCTTCTGGAAGTCAGGCACATTATGTGCACCTAAAATAAGTAATAAATTACACTGAATGTATTAGTGTTTTATGAAGCTGTAAATCTTGTGCCTTCTCCAAGGGCAATAATAATTGCAGATTCTTTCACAGCAAGTGTAGCTCTTTTCTGGTGGGCTTTGTGACATCTGCCAGCGTGGGAGAGGGTGACAAAATTGGATGCTTCAGGCAGCATTTCTCATCCTTCCAAACAGGAACATCCCTGCGGTGTGGGGCCCTCCCTGACTGAGYTGTGTGTGTAGAGCAAGAGTGGGAGTGGGGGGAGCATCAATAGAAGCATGGTATTAAAACAGGGAGTACGGGGAGTAGTGGAGTAGCTCAGACACATCCAARTCATGTGCTTTTCCTGGCTTCTTTGGAATTCTTCCTCTCCCAGTTCTGGGGCAGTCACCAGGYAGTGTGGTTAGTGCTGTGCAGGAGTGCAGGCAGCCACTGTGGTTGGACACTCATATATAAGTGTAGACTGGGACAGGAGGGACTCATAGCTTCTCTTCAGGTGTAGCTCCCTGTATTTGCTCCATAGGTGGATGGAGTCTCCAACTTTGGCTGTGGGCTGTTTAGGACAAGGTATGATGGGCTTAAAATTCGTGTAATTGCTCTGATTGTCTTATTGTGGGTTTRGTTGAGGATATGAAGGTGGTACTGCCCCAAGGCAGCATGGTGATGCCTGCTTAAGGGTTTGAGGTTCTCAGTTTGGCCCGACAGGCTGGAAAACACAGGGCTCATGGTCTAAAACTTGTTTCCAAGGGCTCCATGTGTGCTGAGACTTGTTTTCTTCTGTCATATCTCAAGGTTCTCCTGTCACAAGTGTTTCTTTTGTACTCAGGTTCTGCATCCTCCATCCTCTTCATTACAAGTGAAATCTCTGAGGTAGTTCCCAAGTGAGCAGTTGTGCCAAAGGGATGAA